GTCACATGGCCGACCAAAAGTCATAAGCCACCGTACATAACAAATACGGTCAGCCTTATGATGGAAAAGTAAGTCCTCGTCAGTTTACACTTATAAAATCACGTAAAGGGGTCAAAATGACCCCTTCGGTCCTTCTAGGTATAAGTAGCAATATCTTCCAAAGTTCTTGTAGCAGAGACCTCCAATTTTGCGCCCAAGCGTCTGTCGGTAGTACATGAAAAGTCGGAAAGTGACGAATCGCTCAAAAAAATAATTCGTTGTTCCTGTGGCAATTAAAGATCAAAAGGGGTCATTTTGACCCCTCCGGTCCTTCTAGTGTTAAGTGAGTTACGCCTGTTTTTGTGGGACCTGCTCACGGCTCGCCCGCCAGATTCAAAATGCCATCCTTAAAACTCGAGTTTCTCTGGACAGGGGTGGTTTCTGAACGAATCAAAAGTAGTTTTGTGGTCCCCTGGGTAACCCCTGTCGATTCGACTACTTTTCCGTCGAAATTCGGACCCATCAATTTTCGCTAAAAACACAAAGGCTATAGCCTTTGTAAATTTGGCCAAAAATGAAAAAAATTAAAATTGCTGGAAATGATTTGACCTCCTCTGTCGAAATTGCGTGCTTCCTGCCTCTTTTGCATCCTGTTTCTTCGACTATAAAATTGCGTCTTTGGTTTGTTGCAGGAAGATCGGCCTGGAGCTGGAGGTGAACCTGTCCTGGACATAGCCGTGCGGCCCATGGAATCATCAGATATAAGTTGAGTTGGCGTCACAGTGATTACAGCTGGTCCAGTTGTTTTATTCTAGTGTACAGTCTGAATAAGCTTGAATGATTTTCCCTCTGGTACCAAACTTTGTTGGCCATCTAAAGTCACTTTTCACGACAGGGGTGTTTTCGAACCTATGGTAGTTTTCTGATGCCATAATTTACCCCACTGTAAATTTTGTAAAATTTGTACCAAAAATATTGATAATCTTTTATTTTCCGAGGGCTGGGGGTGATGGTGGGGATGGGGACACCCACATTGTGGAAGGGTCTAGCGGAGCCGTTCCGCTCAAGCTGTGGAGTCAGCAAAGCCCTGCCACGGGTCAAGTTGGCATCTTCGGTGAAACGCGTGCTCCTGGTGTCATATGGGGCGGGCCGGACGGCTAGGTGGTCCTTATAATCCGTCCGCGAGATTTGCTGTGACGCAATTTGCTGAGCATTGATCGCCCTCCTGCCCGGGATACGGCGAAAAAGCAGCGTCCTGGCTTATGTGTGACGAACCCTCCCTCCCCCTGCCCCCGCGCTCCTCGCGGCTGCGGTTGCTGTGGAGGTAGTAGCGGGCTGCCCCGCTACCGTCGTGACGTGACGGGTGTCTTGGGTGCTGCTGCGGTGGTTGTGGGGTGGTAGTAGCGGCATCCTGCAGTAAGTCTACTACTGCCTCCACAGCTAACTAGAGCTGCATCCGAGACGCCCGTGACGTCACTGCTGTAGTCGTGGCAGTCTGCTACTACATCCACAGTTACTGCAGCGTAGAATCAGGTCTATGAAATCATGTAAAATGTTGGATAGTATTTTAATTCTTTATTGTTTCTAAAATTATAAGCTTAAGTCTTCTTCAAGTAGCCGGCTTGTTTCTGCTGGTGACTTGGGGCAAATCTGAATACCTGAAAAAGAATGAAAAAAATATAAGTAAATTCAAATTATCTCAGAGTTCAACTCAAACGTGTTCTGGTCCATCTGTATCACTGTGACGCCAACTCATCGAATGAACTTTCTATGTTACAGGTGGCCAGCATCAAGTCCAGTCATATCCCTTTGGACAAGAACCAGCATCGCTTCCTATTTTACAAAGACTGTACCATAAAAATGAAATAAATAGCAATATTATTGTCAATGACACTCTGATGATTTGGTTCTACTTCCCCACTAGAATTAACACACAACTACATATTCCTGCGATCATGAGAAAAGGGGGCCATTTCTTGTGCTGTGATACGCCAACTCAGCATACATCGGGCGACAAACGGCTGCTTAGTTGATGTCAAGCGCACATGAAACTATTGGACGGTCTTCCTGCAATGGGGTAAAAACTAAATTTTGGTCTAAAATATTATGGTGACACCAACTCATCTCTGGACTCCTACAGCAGTTTCAGTATCAGTATAACATTAACTTGCCATGCTTCTAAAGCATTGCCTAGGACAAAGTCAATTCAACATCAAATGTTCACAGGTGGAATATCGTAAATGTTCATGCACTTATCACTCTGTTTCCATATTATTTACTTAACATTTTTATCATTCATTAAAGGACTAAAGAGAAAAATAGCATTCAGTTGGCATGAACTAGAGTATTTTTGCCTGCCTCAGCAGAAAAAAGTGCAAAATCAAAGAAGAGATAAAAGAAAAATACGAACCAAGTTTCTTCCAGTCCTGCTTTGTGGTGTCCTCCATTCCCTTTCACAATCATTAGTGCAACAAAGAATTGGAATCCCACTTGAAAAACTCAAAAATTTTGGGGATTGTATCTGAGATTAATAGCAGTTATTCCCTAAGGACAGAAAATGAGCAAACTGGCGCTCTTTTCTATTATATAAACATCCTCACATTACTTATCAAGTATAATTATTTCCGGCCGTGTATCACGAGGAGAGTCATAAACTAGAGCTGTGAGGGTGACGGAATGAGGAGGAGGGCTACATTTACTTTCAATGGTCTTACTACGGAACTCATCTAAGTGTTAGTCCCCGATTTTGATCCGCCTTGGGGGTTTGTAGAGTGACTATGTACAAAATGTTTGGTGAAGAAAATTCGTGCCCAATTCAGTATCTGGGTCCATAGGGGAAAATCCACTTTCTCCAGAAATGACTAAAAATAGTCTTTGATTTTTTGCCAAAAAATCCAAAAATGATCCACAGTTTGTTTTCAGCTTTGAAATGGGGATTTAAGGCCAAATACAAGCTGGCGGTCATTTTTTGGATTTTACAAAAAAAATTGCTACAGTTAGTCATTTCTGGGGAGAATGCATTTCCCCTACAGATACGGATATTAAATTGGGCACCAATTTTCATTGGCAAACGTTTTGTATACAGTCACCCTACAAAACCCCCGAGGGGGAACAAAATCGAGGAATAACACCTGGACGAGTTAGTTACATTCACGGCACCAACTTTATGAAAATAATCAAATATTTATTTGAGGCTTTCATTCCTTGTTCGTTCTTTCCAGCCCACTATGGCAGGAAGAACAAGTATTGTTCTCAGTGCGGTGTCACCCTTTAACTGTTTTTACTTTCATCTCAGAACACATGACACCTACAGACATGATAGTAGAACAAATCTAGAGCGAAGACGCGAGTCTTAATTAAAGCAATGAAATTTTTTATAGGTTTATTGGTGTATTATTTTGAGCACTCTTATTTAGCGAGTTTTCATTCTCTCGAGATCCAACATCTTTTGGCTAAACACCAAATACCAACAGCCTGATGAAAGTGAAAGAGAATATATTTTAGACATGCATTTAAATTTGCTTTAGAGAAATGTCAAAAACAGTTTGGTACATATAGTATACATATAGTATACCAAAATGAGGTTATGTGGATTAGTTTGTACAGACTTTATCACGTTTGCGTTCTTCCACATATAGGCATAGACAGAGGTGTCGCTATGACACTAAATTGACAATCTATAATTTACAAAGACGAACTAGAACATAACGAATATAACAGAGTAGTTTCTTTCTTACCTCCGCGAAGTCACAAACAACCAAAAGCCTAAAATGTTTCCGCAAACATGTTGCCATGTTGCACGTAGTAGTCTCATTGCAGGGGGCTGACAGGGGGTATCGCCGCTCAGGCGCTGAGAGTAGGCCACCATCTCCACACAGACACGTGGCGGGCGGGCATACACGGCGCACCGCAGGCGTTGTCATACGAAGACACAACATTTAGAAAACAAATAAATACAATTTTGTAATCCAGTAGATTTGTCGCGTGCAATTAACAAAACTTTCGAGTGGTAAAGAACACAGTCGCGTTTCACCGGTCCCCTTTCGATGAGTGCCGACGGCGCAGATTCGAATACTGGGCTGGGGGCTTATTTGTTTTTCTTCTGTTCCCCACTAGACTCGCGTACCATGACACTGACACGGCCCCACTGTAGCCCAAAGTCCCGTCTGACCTCTCTCTAAACGAATAACCCCCAAAAAAGTTTTGCCATCTTTTGATATGTTGTTCCGAGAACATCAAAACGCACAAAAAGGTATATATTGTGGGGGAAAAAAATAGCCCACAGAAATTGGACCATTTTGAAGTTGAAGTTCCAAAATATTGGTAAAAGTCGTAGGTTTTTTTTTTACAGGGTGGGGAGTTACCGATCTCCGATTCCTTGATTGGCCAGGGTCCGATCGGCTACGAGTCCCTACGAGTCTAAAACCGTTTTACTCGACGGTTTGAACTGGAGAGTGCACTCCGTCCACCGGTGCAGGTACAATGCCGCGGACGAGTTCAGCAGCCACTAAAATGAGGATATAGCTATGAGCTGATTCAAATTTTTAATAAAGTGAAAGGCAGTAGGAAGGAAAAGATTACTGGCTTATGATTAAATAGGAAACGTAAGTTGTTATTTCAAACGGAACACAGGCACAACTTCTGTACAATTTACTAACACCACAAATAGATGTTTTGCTATGTAGTCCATTACATTTATCACAAGCTGCTGAATCTTATACAGAACCTTACAATCTAACACACAATCCTGAGATTTTAACACATTTAGATAAAAATATTTTGACATACTTATATACATGCAATTGATTAGCTAGGTATAAGCTTTAATTGGGAGCCCTTTCAATTGACTAATTTACATCTTAATACATATTAATTTACTAAACACATACATATTTAAAAGCTTTCAGGCATTAAAGCCAATAGTACACACTTAACTATCACGACTCACTCATATTCAGGCTTTTATGATTTGTGACTTAAATTGATAAATAATCATCGATTCAATAAAATACGGCCAAGTGCTGATACAGAAAGACCTAACTGAGTCACAGTATTCATGCATGCCTGAGCATCTGATCGTAAGATTTCTAAGTCAGGCATGGAGTCACAGGATTCGACATTCAACAGTGTATCAAAAAACGAGCCCCAGAAATCTGCATTCATATTCCTGTAAAAGAAAAACCACAGTGACTTTACTCAATTTCCAGCTATCTTTGTACAAATTATTCTAGTAATTTTTGTGCTTACCTAGCGAGCTTGGTTTGAATGGCCCACCTGCCAGTAGTTCTGCTTTCTTGAACCTTCATATAATCACCAAAGATGAGACAGTGAGCTGTATTTGCAAGTCCAAACAAATCCGTCTGAAATTTTACAAAATAGATATTATTGTTTATTTAATTTTTCACCCCCAAAAATTAGGTTAACAATATGGGTTCACACATGTACTAGTGTGTGTTTTTTGAAAGTAGGACAAGGAATCTTACCTGGTAGGTCCATGGTTTTCCTGTCCGCATCTCAATGCAGGTGAATGTATCTGTCATAACAACTTGGTTAAATGTTGTCCCTGGGGGCATTAGATTCATATCTATACTTCGCCCAAAATCAATCAGTTGAATACATGGTGCTTGATTAACAGCTGGAATTGTTCTCATGAGTATATTATCAGGCTTCAAGTCTCCATGAATTATTTTACAAGCATGAAGAGCTTGTACAGCACTTATCAACTGTTCTAATAAAAATAGAACTTGGGGCTCTTGCATTGGCCGTTTAGTGCTTGCCACTACCTTATTCACTAGATTTAGCAGAGTTCCAAATGGTAGCAAGTCTGTGACTATTACACTACCATTACTGTAAACATAGATCTGATCTGCTGGCATGAAAGCTGATACAAGATCCCGTTGTGATAGCCGGTGTTGGATTTCTCTGCATATATAGTACTCCCATCGGCAACCTGGCTTCTGAATTTTCAATGCAACATCTTTTTGTGTCCTTGTATCCACTCCTTTTAGTACTTTAGCATAAGCACCTTCTCCAAGAACTTTACCAACAGTATACACATCCCCATCTGAAGAAAGGAAGAAAAATGTACATTATCAAACTCCCATTAAGATAAGCAAAAAGTTCTTTCATTCTTGCAATTTTGAAAGAAAAACTACTCACTTAATGTCAGACAATTATTTCTCCTTGCTGGAACAGCGCCATTCAGAGTATTGTAGCCTTCAGCATGCTGGGGGAGAGGAAATCCTATGTGGTGGAGGAAATATTCAAGAATTCGCGAGTCAAATGGGTTTATCTCTCCTTTGGCTACTCGCAAACCCATTTCATGCATTACTTGAGAATCTGGTCCCTGAGGCTGTGGCTGGGCTTGAACTTGTGCTTGAGGTTGAACTTGAACCTGCACTTGGCCCAGACCTTCTTGAGAGGATGAAGATGAATGCTCAGAAGATTCCTCAATCTGATTTAAGCCAGGCTGAGGACCCATACTCTGCTTTTGGGTTGTGTATTTTCCATATTTGCTATTAATGGAAGAAGACAAACTGTTTCTGCTTCCAGTAGAGAGCATACTCTGGTACTTTTCTTTTGATGTTTCCAGTATAGCACTAAGTTGATCCACATCATTCTTTATTCTAAATAGTTTCAAAGGAGGTACGGTTTTTGGAGAATCTGATGATTGATTTGACCCATCAGCACCATCATCTTCTGGCCATGATTGTTCTACTCGGTATAATGAGCTGCAAAGAGAATAAAAATAATATAAGACAAATACAGATGTAGCAGGTTGCACAACCTTTTGACTGAAAAAGAAATTTCCAAAGTTCTTGAAGTTTCTCTAACTCTAATGAACATTTTACCTATTAAAATCAATGACATTCTTGGAACCTCGTGACTTTTTTGGTGAGGCTTGAAAGGGTGTTGAGGCAGCAGCCATTTGTGGGAAGAAAAATGCCTCAGTAATACCAGTTTCCGACATGTTTACCCCATATTGTGGGGCTGCAGCCACAGGAGCATCATCTTCCATCACTTCAGGTGTTAACTGGGAAAAAAAAAGAAACAGGAAAAATATTTCAACATCTACATGTTAATAAAGAGCAATTGACAAAGAAAATTTAGGAATACATACCGGTGCAGAGCAATGTGAAACTGGAGGAGTAGGCTGCATTGCACTGTAAGGTGCAGCATGGTTGCTATACACATAAGAAACAGAAGGGGCAGACTGCATGTTGTGAGCAGGAAGGGAGTTAGTTTGCATTGGTTCTTGAAGATCTGGAGGGGCCAAGTGCATCGGCTCATGAGTGACCATAGCTGCAGATGAAATTTGTACATGTCCTTGATCAACAAAAACATTTGACTGGTTTTGTGCATGAGAACTATATGCAGATGGTGTAATATGGAAATGGTTGCCTTGTTGTATCTCAGTTCCTGTGCTATCTGGAGCAGGAGTCACACCACATTCTTCCATAAGTTCAATGTCCGCTTGGGGAAATTTATGTAAATTTTCCTTTTCCTTTGCCACTTTTTCAATAGAACCAGAGGTGTGGGCAGATATTGACAAGTTTCCTGAATTTCCACGGTCCAAAATGGGTGTGTGAGATGGAACATTGTTTTCTGGATCTCCGTCGCAGAAAACTTGAAATTTTCCTCCCAAAACAGGAGGGTCAGGGGGAGTATATGATGATTCTTGAAACACTTGAAAGCCATTGCGTTGTTTCATAAAAGATGTTCCTGTCATAGGATCTTCATACATCTCAGTTGGGTTTGTAAAATTATTAGAGGTCATTACAGGATGTTGCTGTGCTGTTGCTAGCGTCTGGGAGACTGTGCCTACAGCTTGATGATTATGAGGAAATGTTTGTGGTTCTCCACTTCTTAACAGAGAATTTTCATGAACTTGATGGGGTAAACTGTCATCTTTCATTATCTGGAATGCTGGTTGATACATATTTGGTGTTGCACTTGCAGCTAAATTTGGTCCACTATTGGGAGCTAGAATGAATGGATGGAATTTAGATAAACAGTAAATCAATGCTTGACGTGAGAACTTTTATTTGAAGTTCAAAAATTTACCTTTTACGATTGTGGGGCTTCCCCACAAGTCTTGCACTTCATTCATAGCCAATTTAGTATGCAGGGTCATTGACTGATTATGTACGGACTGATTAGATGGAGGAAACCTGTGGCTCATGTGAGGCTGCTCATGGTGAGAGAGATGACCACTAGAGTGCGCTCCACCCTCGGACGATAAAGCTGTTCTATACAGTGATTGAGGCTATTGCAAACAATTTGAACAAGAAAATATTATTTCTACTGATAGATAAGACAAAAATAAAACATAAGTAAAATACCACCTGAGGTTGCTGGTAACCGCTCAATGTTGATGTCAGACTATTAGCAGGACTTGGTGAAGGGCCTGCTTGTCTAAATGGCTGATCTGACAAGGTGTCTAATCCATGACCATCAGCTAGATGAAAAAAATCAGACAAAATTAAAAAGCATTATCAACCAAATACAAAAGGAATGGGAAGTCAACCCACCATAGTATGGGGCAGGTTTCTCTTCACGTGGATAAAGATTTTCTTGTGTCACACCCAAAGAAACAGAGGGCTCATTATGAGACATAAATTTCCTTTCATACATGGCTAACTGTCCATGCTGCACTGACATTTCTCTCATTTTTTGGTTTTTTTCAGCTCTCTTTTTAAAGTAGTCAAGTGCACGGAGTTCCTCTAGTTGTAGTTCTTTACCTCCAGCATACACCTGTGAGTAAAATTAAAATGTTGTGAAAAAAAAATGAACAGAATTTTCTTACACTTGATTAAGTAGTACTATAAATTGTACAGTAGTAATATACCTCATTCTTTCGATACATAGGCTTTGTAAAAGGGTTTGGCTCCTCAAAAATAGCTATTGCATCATGGAAACCATCTTCTAATCCTTTTCGGGGTTGAAGGGCATTTGGGACAACTATACCATGTGACCGTAGCTCATGACCACTTGATGCATTCTCTTCATCCTTGTGCACTAATGGAAAGAACAAAATTTGCATTTCAATTCAGAAATGAGAAGATGAATTAAGAAAGTCAAGCAAAAATTACCTTCGAACCCAGGTTGTTTGGGCATAAAAGAATTGCCAGCATTTGTGACATGGTGCTTCCGTGATCCTAGCCCTTGACCAGTCCAAGGACCCGCCTTAACAACATTTTCCTTGTTTATGGTTTGAGCTATCGGAAGTGCTGAGGAAACATTCTGACTGTGCAGGACTTCACCCTCAGGTTCACCATGCTCCTAAAGAAAGATTCAAGAATAAAATAGTTAAAGAAATCAAACATTAAAAATAAAGTAGAAATCAAAATAAATATACTAAATTTAAATATTAGCAGACTAGCACTCTCTTCACAGACATATTTATTGAAACTAAACATACAGTAAAATGAGTAATCTTCAGAAATTACCTGATACACTGTGACAGGTCCTGCATTGTTACCACGTACACCAAATGTTCTTGAGGAAGGAGCAGAGCGCCCAGAAGATCCTTGTACCGCTGGTATCACACCCGGCAGCTGACTTCTAACATTAGACCCAACTCTCACAGTAGGTGCTACACTCTTTTTCCCAATGGCTTTCAGTGCTGCCATAGGCATTCGATGGTCACCTTGAAGATGATTACCAACATCATCTTCTGGGGTTTCATTGTTGATGTTTTTGTGATTAAACACAAAAGATGACAAAAAAAGTCTGTATAGGGTAACACAGAATTACAAGCGAGAGGGTAAAATAACAGGTGTTTTTATTTTGTATTCTTCTCCCATAGCCCCTAAATACTTACTGATGAGCAGCGTGCAGTTCTTCAGCTGGTTGTGCCATGTACATAGAACCCTTTGTGAAAATCTGATCAGCCTGTTTCCAATCTCCAACAGATTGAAATTCATAGGCCCAGCTTTGGTAAAACTCTGCACACTTCACTCCGATTCCCTGAGTGTGCAACAGTTGGTACAATTCAACACGTTTTGCATCATTTTGCATTTCAATCTTCACGATCCCGCGTCCAAGAAAAGAAAGAGGAGGTAATTAATATTTGTAAACTCCTATTGCCATCATAGTAAACTATAGTATAGTTTAGTGCTTTAAGAAATATTCTTACATATTTTATCCATAGTCCCACAAAACGGGAGTCGTTTTTATATTTCTCTTCATCTTTAAATGCCTGAAAGCATTTAGTGAGCAATACACTTAAATTTCCTTCAGGACCATGTTTCGGGAAACTTTGCTCAACCCAAGATATGTAATCACACCAAAGCTCTAAAGGATCTGATCCTTCATAGGTGCGAATCTGCATTTCATACCATCTAAAATTTTGTTTTTATAGTTAGAAAATAAGCTTAAGTTTGCATTGCTAACATAAACAATTATTAACTACTGAGATACCCACTCTTGTTTTTTTGATAACATTTGATGTAAAGAAGAATCTGTTTGAGCTTGTAATGCAAGCCCGAGCTGTGTTGTGTTTCTACCTCTCTTTAGAGGCTGGATATTTTCTTTGGATAAGTCAAGAGCATCGGCATTTTCCATGTTTTAAAATTGATTGATGATCCAGCTGAAAATAATCAAAACAAAAGTTTTAGAAACAAAATTGACAACAGAGCAAATATTGCAAATAATTTGTTAAAGAATAAACTGACAATCACATGGATAATAGAGGAATAGAATGATGCTTGTATAAATCACAAAATATAGGTTAGGCCAGTGGGAAAGAGGCAAAGCAACAAACTTAACAGTCCAATAATATTAACGTATTCATTTCATTCTTAACAAGACAATTAAAACATATTGATTAGAAAAATGGGAACAATATAGTAACACGTTTGTTAAAAAAGAAGCTTGAGCTTAAATCACATATTTGGGGCATGGGGAACTTTAGAGTGGACTAGCTTCCTCCTATGTGGTCCACAGTTTGCAAGGAAACAAGACGGAGATTAGAGAAAATATTATGCGCCAAATCCAAAGAGGAAAATGAAAACAAAACCGATTAACGATTTTCAAGTCTTCAAACGTAAACAAAGCTGAAGAGATGGACGATCCTAACCCAAGAACAGAAAACTGGCTGTCAACTGTGGTAGATTGTTGACAGTAAAGTTAAAGCGTTAAGCCATGCAAATAACACTTACGCAGCAAAACAAACAACAACAGGACAGATAAAATTAAGTCATAGCAGACAAAACATGCTAGGACACTAGTTTTGGTAAAACATTTTGATGAGGCTTTTGTTATTCGCAGATTCAATGCAGTCCAACATAAACTAACCAAAACCAAACTTTACGACAACTTATTTATATCGGCCACCTGGTGTATTCTTGTTGTAACTTGCGTAAATACAAATGTATAGGAAATCGGATTCCCCCTGCAAGTCAGGTTTCAATTAAATGTTTAAATCAACCCGGGTAAAATTGGGGATTCCGTAAAAGCACAGGTCAACCTGCGAATATTCAACTCTTGAAATAATCATAAACCGTCACCGGCTGGTTTGTTTATCTATGTGGCCGTGCTTTTTGAATAGAGCTGTATAGGCGCAGACGACAGACAACACACCAGTTCACTTATATTGTTTGTTTAGTGTCAAAAGTTTAGCATGTTTTCCCTAGACGAGTTGTAAACATTTAGGTTTACAAGAGTTTGAGCTTTGCTCTCTTTAACAAAATGGACTACAAATTTTCTGTCAACCATGAAATTTTATGTCAAATCAGACTTACAGCAATTGGTGTTTCTAATAGTCTTATATACTTCCACAATTCACATAAATAAAGTAATTGAAACAATTGCTGACTAAATTTGCTGTATTCTTGTTGTCTTTTGGGAGACTGGACTGATTGGTGATCCGATTTTCTTTCAGTTCATCCTCTCCATCCTAGGATTCACCTATCCAACTGTATTTCAAGGATGGCAAACCCTTGTCGCTGTCATTCTGATGCGTGTGCTGCTGTTTGAAGAGCTGTCTCCAATATGTTGGACATCTTTCTTTGCCAACCTACCTCTCTTTTTATGCTTCGTCGGCAACATTGTTGCTGGATCCAAGGCGTTGTCCTCCTTGGTTTGTCATTTTACCTTAGAGTGTTACCTCCTTACTATGACAATTTTGCTTCTTGACAATAAATTTCTCTTCGCCAGCCTGCACCTATAGTAATTGCATTATCAAATGTGGTGCCAGCTCTGATACATGCTGTCAGCAATCCTCGTGCAGATGAGAAAAACTATATTAATTTCACTGCCAGTCTGTTTGCTTTATTTTCTGCTATTTGTATTTTTCTTATGGACCCCATTTTGTCGGTATGAAACCTTTCATCTTCATATTATTTTTTATCTTTTGAACTGACATGGTTTTAGGATATGATGTTAATTTTCCAGGAGAATGGCATTCCAACAATGTGGATGGTCTTCCACTTATTATTTCTAGGAGCGCAAGGCCTTGTTGAGAAAAGAACTTCATCCAGTCTTAATTCTTTGGATAAACTTTTCTATTGTAACTTATTCAGGTAATTCGGACATTACATTTTCTCTTGTGGTTGCAAAATTGTAAGTAGAAACTCTATTGTGATAATTTGAACTTCAAACTTCTATTTTTCAGTGTAGTTGTTCTCGCTCCTAGCAGCCTTTACTTGGAAGAGGCCTTTTCAGCTTTAAACTTCCATGAGAGGAGACAACTCTCCTTTTTGCTTGGATGTGTCATGAGTGGGATTTTAGGCACTGTGATGTCCTTGATGACGGTTTACTCTGTACCAACTTCCCTGAACACTATAGCAATTTCTAGAGCCGTATCTTGCATTATATCACCCTACATTCTCCCATGTACATTGAATACCTCAACATGGTTCTTTGTTGTACTCAGCCTAGTAGCTGTTAGTGTTATAAAAATGGATAATTCTCCTCCATTAAATGTGATAGATTGCAGCAATCAAAAACAAATTGAAATTGTATAAGATCTCTTTCGCACATATTTTTAAGACTGATTTCTAAGAATCCAACCAATTTTTGAATAAATTTGTAAAATGCAACCAGCGGAAGTGGAATAAAGACACATCATGTAATTTAACTGTTGTATTTCACTGTAACACATACAAAAAAGAAAAAAAAAAGGGAGGGGGGGCAGAGGAAGGGTAGGGACAATATCAACATTGACGGGGGAAATATATGTAGCTAGGGCAATGCTTTTGCCACCTCCTTTTGTATAACTTATCCTAAGGCAAACAAACAATTGCTCACAATAAGTGGAACAATCACAGTCAAAACATTTAATCATTGCTTTTCATGAAAGCAAAAGAAACAACAAACTATAATCTCAGAGGTTTTTGAACAGATACTTACGGTAATAAATCTTCAACAATATAAATCTAACAACCGCAGGAAACACTTTCTTGTAACAAATCAAAAATAAGAAAGAAAAGAAAAAAATAGTCCAACAGGGTTATAATACCCATAAAATTTAACAATTTTCGTCAAATGAGTGATTCTAAAAATTGGTCTAAAATTGTGATACAGGGTTTTTTGTTTTTTCAGTGTTTCTTAAATACAAAACAATTTACAAAGCTTGCTTCACTATCAAGGCACTTTGTGATTTCCCATGATGTATTTAAACTTGTCACAAACACATGTACAAGATTAGACTTTCCCTACTCTATCAAGGACCGTTACAGTTTAAGTAACAATGCCATAGCAGATATTGGTTGAATTCTTTAACAACCATCTGTTCTCCTCCTCTTTGTTTCCTCAGGCGCAGTAGGATGTCATTTAAGTTTGGACTACAAAAATACTCAATTCTACTATCGTTTTTTCCTTCTATTTTGAAACAATAGTACTGCAAGGAGAGGACTTCAAGTTAAGTGAAGACAAAGAAACACTCCCCCATGTTAACTGTAAAAACATAACAACATATCACATTATAGAGAATTTTGAAAAATAAATATAAATGTTATGTGATGCTTTCTCAAATACATAAAAATTTTCCCGTTGATATCAGGATTACTTTTACCATCTTTGGTTTTGTTTATAAATTTTGTGAAACTGACATTTATTACAGAGAATATATTCAGTATTCCTTATTTTTAATGTTCCCTTTAACCGGTTGTCCCAGGACATCGTCGAATGCTGCTATGTCACAATACAGGTGCTGGAAGAAGGTGGGACTGAACAAACACTAATGGTTTTGTGATCTCGGAAATTTCATGATTGTGCTCACTGGGAAACCAGACACATATGGTGCTACTGAGTTCAAGAATCAGTCCATTGGGAAAATTTTCGAGACAAAACAAGTGTTGTAAAGGTACTCTATTAAAAACTAAGAATAAGACTTTAGCACCATTTGACTACTTATTTCCAATAACATAAGGAAAAAGTTATTATGCAATATTTCTTACTATGCAGATTATTTCAAAAAGAAATAAAAATTAGAGAGGCTGTCATTTTATACAAAATGTCAGAAATAGCCCACAAGAACAATATATAAGTTTCTTATTTAATATTAGAGCTGCCTCTACCCAACATACGGGTAAAATTTAATGAAAAATACATACAAACAAAACTTTCCAGTACAAAAATGGCAACATGAATAGTTTTCGTTCTGCTAGCAGCTACTCTTGATACCTCTCAAAATTGGGTTCACTTATCTCTAGGTTCATGAACCAGTCTTCTGAAGTATGTAATAAATAATCTTATATATGCAACATGGACTCAAAAACTTCAACACCCAACAAAAAGAAAATATTTTAGAATACACGAAACATACAAAATAAGAACAATGTGTGTATATCAATCTACTGATAATTGTGATAATTATAGACTCTTCTCCTACATATTTTATAGACATAAAACTATGTACAGGTATTAAATCTAGTGTTTAATTTGATTATTAAATAATACACTGCTGACCTTGAGCACTAGCACTACTCTAAAAATAACAAGAAATTGAGATTTTTCTCTCTTTTAATAGCCAGGAACCCAATAGAAAGAGTATGATGAAGTACAGGATTTAAATTACTAATGGCTGCATAGAATAAGTACTTTATGCAAGGTAAAGCATTCAGTAAAGAAAGATTTGGAAGCTAATTTTGCATAACATGAGATTCAAAAGTAATAAAAAACAAAGTCACACAAATATCATACTTCTTAAAGTGAAGTACACCTCATGAGATTAAATAAAGAGAAACCACATTCAGCTCTATCACATGAAAATCTCTGACTAAGAGTTTGAATATCATTTATGTTAATAATAACAACAATTTACCAGAGAAATTTTTTCTCTGTAACACTTTGGAAGAGAGTGAAGTGAAAGGCAAAGAAAGGAGATGGGTTCAGGCGCTGTCAGTAAACTTACTGAAGGTTTATCAATGTAAATGCGTCTTACAATAGACATAATATATCTCTTCATCTTAAAACATAAATATTGCTTTGAAGACTAGTAAGGACATGAGACTACAATACTGATGCTTGTAGAGGAGTCCACACCTGTCTTCTGATGTAATAAATTAATTTTCGTTAAGACTTTTGTACTTAATTAAGCATATATCATTGGCACATTGTTATGCTTGGCTTGAGTTGCTCCCTATTGCTCATCAATAAACTCACACTCACTCGCAATTATAGTGCCACTTATGGTACTCCTTTTTAGTAGAAGTGATGTTAAGAAGGTAGCAGAGAACACAAGTCACCTACCCATGCAGGTGGTGCAAGTCCCCAAGAAGTGACGCTGGTTAGTATTAAGTGTGGACCAACCAACCAACCATCTTGATGCGTGCAGTTGCTTGTTACTTTACACTGGGAGGATGTTTGGATGGACGGTTGCTTGCGATCGCTCGACACCATTCCTGTGTTAGCACTCGAAGCCTACAGGCCAGGTTTTGTTCTAGGTTGCCAACCGGGAAAGTTAAAAAGGGGAAAAAGAAAAGAAAACAGAGTGTTAGTACTTGATTTCGTCCAAGATTATCAAAGGAGTTCAGCACATGATTCTGATGCTGGATGAAACGCAAAAGAAACTTATAAAAGAAAAAGTAATTTGAATAGCACCCAGCATCACAAACATGTACAAATAAAATAATAAAACAACCAACTACTGACAAAAGCTTGCATGAGAATTCTTAAATACTGAGCAGTAAATCAATCAATGATCTCTAATTGGATGGATTATCACTCACAACCATTAAATTGGAGCGAGTAAAGATTTAAAATACAAACTTTTGTCATCAGGCAGCCACTAACCAAATTATTCAAACCATTAGTAACTGTAGCTGACTGCTTTTAAAGACAATTGCAGAGCCAAATGTCAGCAATGTGAACAAAACATTTTCTCAAAGCTATGAAGTATTTACACAAAACAAAACCACTAGTCCCACAGGGAATTTGACATAAAGCAAAAACAAATGTGTTGATGACAAAGCTGGTCAACCTTTAGATTTAAATATTGAAAGATTTGAAAAACAAACAGAAAAAAATTGTTGATAATTAAACTTTGAAAACAAAATAATCAAGAAAAAAATTAGTGAGGTTTGTTAGTGGTGAGCCCCTGCATATCATAATAAGGTACAGCACATTCAACACCATACAAAATACATTCCATAAAGAAGCACATAAAAAATATTATAGAACAGATGCGCTTAATTTACTTTTTATACCTGAGAATTTAAACTCCATGCTTCTTAAGGAAATTCTTATGTTGATGTTGAACAGCCCAATCATGTATTTAAGAGACCTGGTTACACTATTTTCTACTACGAATCCAATAATGATCATACCGCAACCTTAAAGTACACACAGAAATTGAATGTGTATGAGGGGTGCATGAACAGCCCAGAATAGGACAATAGTGAAACTACACATTTTTGCAAATCCAAAACTACCAAAAGCATTCCCAAGGTGCAAGAGAACAGTAGGCAGAGCGCAGTCTAGCATCACTTCTGTGGAGCATAGCTTGGTGACTTCTTCTCCAAATTTAAGCATTTAATGTGAAGCATTGATTAAATATCCATAAAGTTAGTAAGATCAACTTGGCCATGTGGACGTTCGTTAGCAAGAGAGGGAGAGAAGGATTGTTTCATCTTAAGTTAGTAAAGACCCAAAAGAAGGAAGGATTGAGGTAGTGTAGCTAATCTTGTGTCTTAACAGATCATTAAGATCTGATAAAATAGGGACAACAGGAAAAATATATCACAGGAGACAAATGAATGAATGTCTGCTATCGACTTACACTTCTTTTATTTTGCTTGTTTGATTTTGCACCTAATATGTACAAACCAATGGAAAAGTCTTACTAGCACTCCACAGGCTCAAGTTGCCATAAACAACAACAAAAAATACAAAATAGTATTTTTAAACTGGAAATGATAATACATAATATTTATGTATTAAGATATATAGGTATATATATATTTATCTTTATATATATACTCATCAATATACTTTCATATAAATATCTCAAATTCCCCCACAGAGGAAACAAACAATGTACATACAGTTATAATGGCTCCACATCTACTGCCCCTTAAGAATTTCCCCCCAATGAATTTAAGCAAAGGTTCAGAGGAAAGAAGGACATTTCACTTGCTTCTTGCCTCTCCAGGTCAAGGAAAAATTAATTATCACAACCATTGCAAAAAAAAGAAAAGAATTAACAAAAAAAAAATATTTGAAAATTTGTGAAAATTTCATAACAGTTGTATTACTGATGGCAGTTTCACTTGATAAAAGGACTGACACGAGAATTGCCATAAGAATCCTGAGGGTTTCAACATTTTTACAAATTTTGATACTTTGTATTTATAATTAAGTATACCTTCGCAACTCTTCCCTTTGAGAGAAAATTAAATTCTAATCGTCATGAAACCAGCTTTCGGTTTGTAGAGTAACTCTGCCTCATTGTAGTCATAACTAATCGAGAAATAAACTTATCAGTTTGCACTGATACAAACTTAACTTTCTTGTATAAATAAGAGTACATAAATATCTCAATAAAATAATCTGCATAAAAAGGAAAAAATAATAATAATATAGACTAGCTTAAAGCAAAATCACAATAATAATGTGATTTACCTACAATTACGTTAAATGTGATGACTATTGTATCAACTGACAGAAAACTAATTCACTACAGTCCTTCTTTCCTCAAAGAAAAAACAAAACAAGAAACATAACACTGAGGCGGGCAATACTCAAAAACAGATAACGTTAGGGCTGGTAACATCAACTTTTGCGAGCAATTTAAAAGGATTCGTGTTCGAAACAATTTACTTCACTCAAAACAAGCTGCTTTCTACCATATTAAAGACTTGTAAATCCTGAGAAGGCAATCAATTTTCATGAATAATTTATCCCTTCACTCTCTAAATATCTTCTGAAAACTGAAATGTAACCATTAGGTAGAAAGCCCATCTCCCTATAACTTACTAATCAACCAAGCACGCACAGCCGAGTCAGACCTGGCCTTCTCTTTGCTAATGCTTTACAAATTCAAAACCGTTCAAATTTTGAGGTCTCATTAGAAAAAATACTTGTAATAGGACTCTGTATAAGACAAGGCCAGAACTGGATCGTACCCTCATAAAATTTTTAAGAGAGATTCTGAATTAAATCCTGACTACGATAAGAACAAGCCATATAATAGGCTGCACAACAAGAGGTACGTAAAAAAAATAACATAACAGAGACTAACCTTGGCACACTTGGGTCTAATTCACAAGAGGAGGCCCCGCCCTTTGGTAGGGATGTTCTCTCATCTGTCCCAAGTGTCTGCGCTGCTTTACGCCCGCTAGAGCTCCTGTTTTGCAGGAACAAAACTCACATTTAAAGCATACATTGCAGACACACAGAAATGTTTCACAACTATAGCTGTCTCAACAGGAGCAGGGAGGAAAATTTTGAATGTAATAATTGTCTTTTTCACCAAGAATATTGATAAATCAATGGTTGCTGAAAATAAGTGAAACTATGTTCCAGCCATGTTGAGACATATTCTAATTTATACTGCAAAATGGAACATATGTATTGAGACCCATAAAAAAGAACATCAAAGGTGATCAGCTGAATATTAAGTTTCAGGCACATTTATGGCTATGCAGCAAATAATGATTTGATCACAAGAGCTGCTCTCTGGCAAATGCAAATTTCATGCTCCATTCTACACAAATAAAAACATCAACAAAACACCAATTATTTGACACTGAAAAAAAAACACGCACGTACACAAACACACAACAAAATCTACATATAAATAAACACTGGTAACAGGTGACAAATACAATAAATGTCTTCTATCATATTCTGATAGTATACTTTATATTACTAATATGAAATTTTTAAAAAAATCTTTGAAATATTTCTAAAGCCTTTATGACAGCTGCAGTAAAAATTTACTCAAGAAAGAAAATAAAGAAAGCAATATGGCACTGTAAAGAGGAAAAAAAGCAAATCAATCAGCCGTCAGCCTAAGAACTAATCTGGTTTAAAATTTAACAGAAAACCAAGACATGAAGAAAGAGTGGATAGTTGGTTATCAATTCTTGTCAACTGAATAAAGCTATGCAACCAAGTACCGGCATCACAAGCTCCTAGAAAGAAGTCTTTACCTGCTCACGGCATATGTATTTAAAATTATAACAGAAGTCTTTGAAGAGTTTCTCTATGCACATAAAAAAACATGGCTCACTTGATCTTAAGAAAATATTATTCAGCTCCATAAAATTTACCTAAGAAGAAACAGCATACTGTTGGTTCAAGTTAAGTAAGAGGTTTTCCTAGAATCGGAAAAAAGCAATAAACATGCTTTTTGGTCCCTCGAAAATGTGGTTTAGTGTGTGAAACTTTATAAAATACTTTTTCCCACAAGGAAGCGAGGGTTTTTTCTATCAGTTTTATGATATTGACTTACTGATTTCCTCACAGCAATAATATCTGTTGGGTAATTCAGTCAAGATTTTAAAAGAACATAGAGAACCAGAAGAAATGGGTAGTAAAATTTGAATAAGTCAATAAGCTGATACAATGAACAAGACTTTTCCACCTCCAAAAGTAGTCCAAAGCTCATAAGATGCATAATTTGATAGCATTATTTGAATTATTTTTTTTTGTAGTAAAGAAGAAGTATAGGCATTAATGCAAGAGCACTAATCAAATAAATAACAATCACAATAATTCAACAAATATAGAAAATATTGTACAAATTCTATACACCCTCAAGTGTACAAGAAAGAGTACGCATGAGGAAAATAGGCAAACAAAGTTCATGATTAAATAGAATCATAATGAAGAGAACTAATTAAAAAACTGAACCAAGTTCAACTTGGTTATTCTAAACAAAGCTAGAGCTAACTATTCACATGGTTTCACTTACAAAATGTTGTAAGATATATCAACTAATCAAACGACTCTAGGGAAGATATGTGCACTGGAATAAGGAAAGTGCAAACAGGTATAGAAAACTAAGAATAGATATAGATATA